GAATAACGTAATGTGATTTCAGCTTCTAATTAAAAACACATATAAGCACTTTGTATTGGCATCATTAAACACATGGATGTTTCTCCTCTCTGCACGCTTTCAAAATAAAAAAAACATTTATTTTGTTTACGCTCAGTAAAATGTCCCTTTAAAGACACATTCAGTTTGTTTAAGGTTTTATAAATTAAAGGGTTTTGGGACTTTATTGCACACAAACACAAACAGTCTTTGGATAATTCAGATTAATTAAAGATAAACAGAAATACATTTATGCATGTTAACAAAACAGGAAGAGATTCATCGTTTGAATGGCAATAAAAAGACAAATAATGTCAAATAAAGTCATTAAACATGACTGTTTGGTCCCAATTCAATAAAACTCAAACACAATAATAATATTTAAAGTCTAAACACAAACCAAAAGAAAGGTTTTTTTATTTAAATGCTTGTTTCTTTTGGCACAAAATTAAGAACAAAAATTTACTTTGTCTTAAAAAATTTATTCAATATCACTACAAATGAAGAAGCTAAAGTTTGTAAAAGTGCAGCAGGATCAACTGGAGCGTGACGATGAGAATATTAATGTTTGCACTTTGAGTTTTATTCATTTTTAAACTAAAAAAGGCTCAAATAAAACTCGTGTTTCCACCATGGTGTTTATTTTCTCAAGTTTCCTCAAACGACAAAAAACAGCTCATTTTTTACAGATTACTTCTAACAAGAACTAAATCCTGTATGAGAAAATGTATTTATTTGTTCAGGTGGAGTCACACTGAGCTGTCTGAACAATCYAACATGAAATTAAATGTCTTTTTTTTCCCTTAGTTTGGTCACAAAGTCTCTTAATTCTGGTTCGGTTTGATCAGAATTTATTTTTTATTTCAGTCACAGTTTCAGGACACAAATACAAGCCTTCACATCAAATCAGGGATTAAGTCAGGTTTGGTCAGAATAAACTCAGCTCATTGTTAAAGCTACACTCTGATAATCCTGAGGTTTAACTCTGTCTCTAAACCCTGGGAAATGTTTCTGAATCCTGACTTTATTGTGTTTTAATGAGGATTTTCTGACGTCATTTGAAAGAGGAAACATCAAACTGTATTTGGATGTCAGGATTTACAGGCTGGAGTGTAAAAAAAGCTTCATTAGAAAGCAGATGATTTAGGGCTTTTCTGCTCAAAATCATGGTAAAATGTTTCAAAAATATTTTGTAGGATTTTATTTCTATAAATATTTCTATTAAAGAGATATTTATATTTAATCCTCGGGTCRTGACGGGTCACAAGGAGTTAAAGGCTAAAACTTTATGAGGAAATACTCTCAAAAATACGAAACAAAAACAGGTTTGAATAAATTGCAAGACTTGCAAGAGAAACAAAAACTTAGCAGCTAATTTAAACATATTTAATAAACTCAAACTCTTAACTGAAGCTGCTTTAATATAAAACAAGAACCGTCCCTGATGTTAACAAAAAAGATGATGTCATCAACGTAAAGCTTTAATTTATCTTTGGTCCCAACAGGAGGGTTTGAAAACTAACCTGGTTAGGTTCAATATAAACCTGTAACGTTTAAATACAAAAGAAAAACCCTGATTCACAAGGTTAATTAACACAAGATAATGTTTTTTGGCACTTAAACCAGACAAATGAAGAGTTTTAATAAAAAGATYAAACGTTTTATTATCATCACTTTATCCATGACTGATTCCCTTCAGGAGTCGAGTCCATTCTGATCAACAAAAACAGCTCAAATTCAGTCGTTTTCCCAGATATTAGACTGAACCTTAGTGTGGTCRTAGCTGAGAGTCATCCTCAACACGAACTCTGAGCTCTAACACATCACCTGCTCCAGATTAAACAAAAACAGATAGTTTTTAACACAAGAGATGAWCTCAGTTTGATACAAAAAGCAGGTGATGTTCTGATGCTTCAGTTTTGAGCTGTTCTGGAGAAAACTCTTCAAAACCTTCAAACATTTTTAGAGTTTGGTGCTGAAATAAGGAGAAATGTTTAGTTTGTAAATAAAAGGAAAAATAATAATAAAAATAGATGGATTTCCTCCACAACACTCGTTTTGTTCCAACGATAATAACCGTACGGTAAAACAATTAATGACATTTTAGAGTCATTTTTTCCAACCAAATCAAAAATAAATTACTTTTTATTTCAGCTTGTCTGCACTGYTCCTATGTCTTTATAACTCCTGTGTTTGTGCTGTCGTTTCACCACGAACAGCTGTCCCTGCACACCTGTCAGCTGTCCTCCAGCCAGGACGGCTGGTCCACGGTGCAGCGCTGCAGCTTGTCGGCCGCCTGCTGCATGTTGTGCTGCAGGAAGCTGTGACAGGACAGGCAGTGGGAGGCCACGGCGCTGTGCAGGAGCAGCAGGTGGTTGTGGAGGACTTTGACCTGCRGGGAGACGGCGTCGGGTTCAGGGACCGGCTGAGCTGAGAGCTACARAGACGTCCTGCAGAGACTCACCCTGTTCTCCTCCACCAGCTTGATTTTGACGGACAGGTCGTCTCGGACCTTCTGGTACCGCTCCCTCTGGCCCTGGAAGACTTTCTGGGCCTGTTCCAGTTTGGGCACAGTGGTGGTGTCCCGGGGCCCCATGTTCAGCTCCTCCAGGTCCACCCGGTACGCGTCGTACTCGATCCTGGAGGTCAGGGGGCGGGGCCAAGGATTAGACACGCCCCCTCTGATCAGGTTTCTGTAATTTGTTTAACTTTACTTCTCAAACAGAAAAGTTACTTTTATCGACATCATTTCTCTACGACAGATTAGTTATCTCCTGATCCAACATGGCCGCCACAGCTAACTTGGGAAACACATTTTATCAGTGTGCATTACCAATGCAAYGCACACTATTGTGATTCRTTTCCCATCCAAGTCATCTCAACTTTGCCATGCTTCTCCTCCTGCATACTTTGTCCTAGAGCTGCCATTGTAATT